TTCCGGCCGCTATTTTAATGACACTCTTTTTGGACATCAAATCGACTCTTCGGGGCTCAAAAGTGCCGACAGTATCGCCTAAACCCAGACATAGACTGCAATTGGATCCCAAAGCGTACATCTCGTCATCTTTGGTCACAGCAATGGCTTCACCGCCGGAACAGCCGAAGACCGTAAAGAGACGAACATTGGAGAGAAGACTCTCTTTACAACAGCTGAAGATTAGCCATCGATGAATGGATCCCATTTTGAGCCGATCCGTCAGCAAGAATTCGTAACCTCTGGTGTCAGTCATTAGTCCATCATTAGTGACGATCGCATCCGAGCCAACCTCTGCCTATGGATTGGATCAGTGTTTGGATCAGATGTTGTGATAAGTGGTAAACAATTATAATTACGCAATGCTTTGAGTCGTCGAACATATTAAACATCCATTCATTCAATCCGTATATGAATTGCAAAATAAAAATATTGTTGTTTTTGCTCTTCAAATGAATGCATAAAAAGCGCAAAACTTAAACATTTTTAGCAATAATTATTTCTAACATTTTATTACTTTTGAAAACTATTTCTCAAATCATATTTTAATGTTTAACTCATTTATAATGATTTTTAATTTATTTTGGAAATCATTTAATGGTTTTCATGATTCAGTTTTAATAAAATAATTTTCTAAAATATAAGTTTTATCATTAATAGTATTTATATTTACGTTATAATAATTAATAAAATATTTATTTTCATTTAATTTTAATGAATTAAAATGTTATAAGTCTTTGTTGAGAGACATGTCCTGTAATTGTCTCTTTAAACTCTCAATAATTAGATCCCTTTCCAAAAGGTCTTCATTTCGTTTTCGTAACTCATTTTCCAAAGCGTTAATTCGATTGTCTTTTATAGTCATTTCGTGAATCAATTGTTTGTTTTGTTCATCGATTTGTTTAATAATGAGTTTCTCTTCATTTAGAAAGAGAAAAGAATGCAATACTTGTGTGGCATTTGGTCTGAGGGCGGGGTTGGGATGCGTGAGATCGAGGATTACTTTGTGGACATTGGGATGACATGTGGTGAGAGTTGGCGGCAATTGTCGTTTTTTGGTCATATTTGAGACACACTTTACTTTCTCCATATCCGTCGACAGCGGATAAAAGAGTTCAAACAAAATGATTCCTAAACTATACAAATCACTCTTTTGGTCATAACTCTTGTCCGGATGTATCACTTTCTGTTCGGGCGCCGCGTATATAGAGGTGCCGATACCTCCCGTGTGCTCATGAGTGTCGCCGGCAGTGCTTTGGGCAGTGTTTGCGATGCAATCGACAGAAATATCTTTACTGTTATGAATAGTAGCCAAACCAAAGTCTCCGATCTTTACTTTAGAGCCATCGGAGCTGAACAGTATATTCTGTGGTTTGAGGTCTCTATGGATGAGGTGTTGAGAGTGGATATACTCAACGCCTTTCAATATTTGGCGAAATATATTCTTTACTGTTTTAATATCTTCTTCATTAAGAATATAATTGGAATTTGTGTCAAATCGTTTGAATACCGTGTCGTTGCGCTCCCGGATCCATGACTTGAGGTTTTGTTTACACAATTCCATCTGAATATAAAGAATGGCTCCGATTTGAGTCGAAATGAATGGATTGGCATTAGATTCAAAATTTTCAACTTTATTTTGCGGAATAACGCGTTTCTTATAACTCTGGACTTCGTAAGAGTTCCGGTACTCAAAGGAGGCTTCGTTCACGAGTGTCGGCGAACTTATTGATTGAGTTTTCTTACGTTTGACAACTGTTTGTCGACTTGCGGTCCATTTCTCCCCAACTATCCAATCATTGCTATTGTCGTCGTCCTCATCGCTCACCTCTTCTTCACTTTCAATCACTTTTCCGCTAATCCTTGTCGTTGTCTTGCGTTCGACGGTTTCGACGGACGACTCAATCCTTATCCCACTTTTGGACGTCTCTTCAAAACGTATTGACATATCGTTTTCGGTTACGTTAGAAGTGATATCAATTTCTTCGTCTGAACTCTCTGTTTGTTCGCGCATTGAATGACTCGCAGACGTCTTCATGTGCTTAACGAGTGGTTTCTTGTCTTCGTGTGGACTCCAGTTCTCGATCCACGCATTCTTATAGCCGACAACATTCGGGTGCGACGAGAGGTTTGCATACAAATGCACTTCTCGTATGATTTTCTTGAAATCTGTGGCACTTTTTAAGTTAAATTTAATTATTTTGACGGCATATATGCAGTCATCGAAACGATACTTCGCTTTCTTAACGATTCCAAAGCCTAACAATTATACTAAGAGTAAGTTTTTGGTGGACAAAGAAAATGATGCAATCATTACCTCCTTTTTCAATGAGACCCAAATCGATGAACTCATTCCTGAAATACGAGGACTTCTCAACCGATCCGTCAGACGAAGCCATAGATTGAGCCGAAAGTGAGCCCAAAGTGGGTAACGAGAGAGGACTCGTCAAACTGTTGCCCGTTTTGATCTGTCGGACCATTTGATTGAATCCCTGGGAAACAAACTGCCGGATCTTATGGAGAGCGTCCAACTTAAAGGTGTCGCCAATCAGTTTCATGTCCTG